TTATTTCTCCTTCTAGCATTATGTTTTCACTTAGACACATTTTTTATGTATTTTTAAAATAGAAATTGATATTTGAAGCATTAATACGCATCATTCATGCACAAGGTTTTACTGTCGAGGACAGCAAACAGGCAAACTGAAGGAAGATGAATCATATAACAGAGAAAAATAAATTAGAAGCAAATAAACTACAAATCACGAAAAAAAAGAGATTATGTTCTAAGGTAAATAAATCCAAATCCAAAGGTAAATAAATTCAAACATTTCAAGAAAAATAATATAAGAATAAGACAATAAAATGAAGTAATGAACTTATATGGCAACATCTTCTAGCAAAAATGGACACACAGTGAAAAATTGAGTATGGCGAGACCTATTGATCATAAATGAACAAGAAAATAATCAAAACACAAATAAAACCAAGATCTTTAAGGATTGTGACAATCTCATGATAACCATGGGGCACGCACTCCTCCAAATCGCAGCCTGGCTTGGCTGTGTTTTTTGGCGGATGATAAAAGGAAGTTGTGAGTTTTTATGAAGCGTATTTATATCCTAAAGCAGTCACTGCAACGTCTAGAGTTTCATGGCCTTTCAAGGTAGGGTCATTTACAGTATGTACTGCTGAAGTCCAGAGTGACGTGATGGTGAAGATAGAATCTACTTATGTTAAAAGTAGGAAGTCAAAATATATTTGGCAAACACAAAAGGTGCTTTTACATTAAAGGAGTTTCTTTCTAATTGTTTGTGAAAGTCATTCACTTCTGATATAATAGTTGGCTGAGGTAGTCGAGGTCCGTTCCATTGATCTTGTATTTGGTTGGTTTCTGAATGTCATCAGTCAACAACGGAAAATGTACTTCATATTTAAAAATACTTTTACAAAGGGTTGTGAAATTGAAAAGCATTTAAAAATAAAGATTTTTCAGTTTCAGTTTCAGTATTGATCAGTGTTTTTACATTTCAGTGTTGAGAAGTTTGCTTAGCTGTTATGGCTGCGATAGACTTTCATTAGCATTTCAAACACCTGTTTACTGTTGGTAAGATACTTATTGTCCATAAATATCTCCGGGAACGCCACTTAAAATCCCAATTCAAAGTTTTTCTATTAGTTGCTTGAATTATTGAAATTATCATTACTCTTCTTGGTTAACGTGTGAACATATTCATCAGCTTCCATGTGTTAAATTGTGCAATTTAATACAGTTATTCAAGGTCTACAATTATTATAAAGTGACTGAGACATTTGCACATGTCAAACAAACAGCGAGTTCATGTGATTTATTCAATATTTTGATTATTTTAAATTAGAATAACAACTGTAGGAAGTTTATATTTAGTTTTGCTGTCTTTGCCCATCATGTTTAATAGACTGACTGTAGCTGACAGCTGCTTAAAGGAAAGAGAAAGAAAGGAATCCAATGTATGTGTAAGTGTCTCTAAAAATGTGAGGAGACTGTAATATAAAGAATCTGACTCCTGTCTCAGGAGCTCTTGATGGTTCAGTAACTGCTTCTTCTTAGCTTGACATTTTTTAAAAAGATATCTATGATACAGGGAATGTGAAAGTTTCTGCTTTTATCAAGACTTTTCTTATCAAGCATTTAAAACCTCTACGCTTTCTTACTTCAGCTTGTTTATTTGAGTCATTCGTCTAAATTAAAGTTGATTTCGTAGCTCCTCCTTCCTGGCTTTATCTTGCAGATTTGCACATCTGGTCATAATTTCTTGGATGAACTGATATTATTAAACAGAATTAAGTTGTAATGAAAATGGACAAATATTTTCAGTAAATATATGTTTACATCTGTCCCCAGTTTTGACTAAAATATTGAGTTTTTTTTGTCCTTGAGCCATTTTATAACTATTTTGGCTGATTGCTTTATGTCATCAACCCTTTGAAAAACCCGGGATTTCCCTTATTGTTTAAGGGAAAAGATGTGATTTTGAATAAATCCATGACTTATGCTTTCTCATTATTGTGACATTTAGGAATTTATTTTGAGTCTCACTATCCTAAAAAGAGAAGTTTGGTCTGATTTAACATCACTCAGAAGAAATGAATAGGAGCCCATGTGCATTATTAGAACTTGTGCATCTAATGTCATGATGTGTGCTTTGGTGTTGGACACAAATGGAGAAAGTACGGTGGCCCTGAGGTGCAAAACACAACATTAACGAAAACACAACAACATTAACAAAAACACAACAACATTAACAAAAACACAACAACATTAACGAAAACACAACAACATTAACAAAAACACAACAACATTAACGAAAACACAACAACATTAACGAAAACACAACAACATTAACAAAAACACAACAACATTAACAGAAACACAACAACATTAACAAAAACACAACAACATTAACAAAAACACAACAACATTAACGAAAACACAACAACATTAACAAAAACACAACAACATTAACGAAAACACAACGGAAGAGGTAGGTCCCAGTGGGAGACCTAAGAAGTCGCTGATTGGACGACAGGTCGTTTCTCTTTTGAACCGGAAGTTATTCTGGCTTTAACTTGATTGCTAAAAACATGAATGTTCTCAGTGATCCAAACCTCAGTACCGTTATTCGGGAATATTTTGAGTCAGGATATACATACGAGGTGATACTGGACATGCTCCAGACCAACCACGAAGTGTCGGTTAGCCTGCGTTCTTTAAAGGCTCATTTGAAAGTAGCAGGGCTGCATAGACGAGGCAACTACTCTCCACTTTCTGACGTGAGACGTGCCATTATGACCGAGAATAGAGGACCAGGCCAATTATTTGGCTATCGGACCATGTGGCAGGTTCTCAAACAAAAACACAACCTGCGTGTCAAACGTGATGTTGTAATGAGACTGCTGAGGCAGCTGAATCCTCAGGCATCGCTCTGAGGACTCGCAGGAAGTTTACCAGACGCACGTACCACTCTATGGGGCCCAATTACATATGGCATGTAGATGGCTACGACAAACTGAAGCCATTCGGCTTGGCCATCTCAGGATGCATTGATGGGTTTTCTAGAAGAATGATGTGGCTTGTTTTGTGGGGCAACAAACAACAATCCCTCTGTCATTGCCCAGCATTACATAAACTCTGTCAAGAGTCTTGGCGTAATACCAATGAGACTGCGAACAGACCTAGGCACAGAGAACGGGACTATGGCAGCAGTACAATGTACCCTCCGGCATGCGCATACGGATTATTATGCTGGATCATCAAGCCACAGTTACGGATCATCCACAGGGAATCAACGCATCGAGTCATGGTGGTCTTCTTTCAGGAGAGGAAGGTGGGTACATCTGTGTTTTTCAGATGTGAAGTACAGCGAAAGCTGATCACAGTGTAAAGTCCATGTAAGCATAAAGTCTGAGTTTAAACGGATTTATAAAGTACGTCCAAACTCTTTGTGTGAAAAACAAGGTTCTGGTGATTATAGCAACATACACGTAAGTCAGATGTCAGTGAAGCAAATTTTTCTAGTTAGGCAGGTTTAAGCTTGTGATTTGTTTATTGTTGTCATGACAACTTCATAGGAAGTGCCTATGGAGTTGACAGTCACATGGCTATCGTGTTGCCAGGTAATAAGTGAATTTGTTTCAAACATTATTTTCATAAGGCTTTGCAATTTTTTGTCCAAGTTATAATTTTTCATTGTTTGGTATCAGATGTTATACAAAGTTTTAGTTTGCACGTGGAAAAGTAGGGCGCGATATTCAGTGTGACATACATTTATAGCATGCTTTCAATGTTATGGACATGGAGAAGGACAATTTGTTTTTATCATTTTAATATGAAAAAGAACAGAACCGTTTCTAATTCAATTTATCCTCAGGTCTCAGTTTTGGATGGACTTGTTCGGAGATTTAAGAGACTCTGGAAACTTAAACGGAAGCCATGAGCACCAGTGCTTGCTCAGATTCTGCTTCACCAGAGTTCTGCAGAAAGACCTGGATGAATGCAAAGGTCTCTGGAATAACCACAGGATCCGGCCAAGCAGACTTGCATCATGTCCTGGGGGGATTCCTAACGAACTCTATCTCTTGCCTCACAGGTAATTGACATCTTCACAAATAGAAATAATGCTTGACATTACATAACAATGCAGAAGTGTTGTTAGGACACTTATTATCTATGTACAAGTAACCTATAGCTATTAATGTACACAAAAGTAAGTACACCCTTCACATTTCCGCAGCTATTAAAGTATATTTTGTCATGGGATAACACCAACAATTCACTTTGACACAATGAAAAGTAGTGTGAGTACAGCTTATATGTGAAGGGTGTATTTGCTTTTGTGATACACTGTATAAGCTGTCACTGATAGTGCTCACTATAGCCAGCACAAAAAAAAGACGATTCCAAGTATTTGTACTAAATAGAGAAAACAGCTGTCACAATTCTATTATTAATTATATTCTGACTTTGCAGATATGGATCAAGAGATTGTGGATTTCCTGTTGAGGACAGCGATCTGGATGTTTTCCCAGAAGCAAGTCAGGTGACAGAGTTGTGTGGGGATAAAGACATCGAGGAATACCTACAGGAAGCCATGCAACAACATGGACAACAGCAGTCACAAGACTGGGAGTCAGCAATGGAATTGTATTTATTGCTCAAAAACATTGCGAGGCTGTGAACACAAACAAGCAACATCAAATCTTATATTTTGTCTCCTGTTCATTTTGTTGATATAAAGTGAAAACTTCATTGTTATTCAGAATTAAACTTTTTTAATACACAAAATTGTGCATTTAGTTTGAACTATGAAGATAAAATCTGACATTACACTCTTAATTAACAGTTTTGAGTATTTGTTTTAACTTGCTAAAAGTTGCGAGAAAGAACATAACAAGAAAAAGGTTTTGCAAAACAAACTATTTTTTGGAAACACATTTAACCAAGAAACCATGTTTTTCAATTTTAGTAACATCCAAATCCCGGAGCATTTTGTATTCCAAAGTCCATGTTAGCTCTAAAATGCTTAAATCATTTCCAAAAGTTTGTGTTTGCACAGGTGTTTGCAATAGGAAAGGGTGAATCACTCAAAAACTCAAGATGTGGGGATGGCATCATGCCTGCTGGTGGAATCGTTGTGAGACCTGTTGCAAACATAAGGACTTCCTCTAGAGATACAGCAGTTGTTTTCTCTGAAAGATGATAAACAATGTAGTTAATAGATAATGCCTTGTACAAATTATTTCTTTTATTTTTGTTTTCCAATAAAACAAACAATTTTAGAATAACACAATTTGTTCTTACTAACCTTCGCAATCAAGCAAATAATCTGCCCAGAAGACAATTGTTTTGCCCTCCTTTTGCCGCCTGTTGCTTCCTACAGGGCTGAGATCTGGTTGGAACATGGTCTCCAAGTCTGAAGCAGTCAGAGCCTTGGCAGAGAAACATAGGACTGGGGACAGGACACTGGAATGCTGCTGCAGTGCAGCAAAAAAACCAAGACTTGCCAGTCCATCTTTGAATCTGTTAACGATAAGCAATGTACTGTATTGATAGAGTATATATAAAGTCAAAAAGATAAACAAAAAATAAAAAGTAAAGCTAATTTTCCACAGTGCTCAAAAGTTATCATTAAAAGTAAAATATAAAATTGAAACTTAAAAAAATGTTTTCATTGTGCAAAAAACGAAATTGTCATGCAACAGTATATTTTTATAAGTCACATTGAAATATTTTTCATGTGCCATGCCTATGATTAATCTGTGTAATGGTGAACAACGATTCAAAACCTGTTGCACATAAAATTCTGAATGGATGATAGAAGTGGTGAAACTCAGAATTTGGCAAGTATTGCTCTGTATATTCTAATATTTCACACAATTTTTCAGAAAAACACAAAAAGATGTGTTACCTACGACAGATTAAAAACAAAAACAATTAAGGAAGGAAGCTGGTTAAATTTGATGTCTGATCTACTAATGTCATATCTCTAATCTGATCCCAATTTTTTATACCTAATTAGTTTTTCTTAGTTAATTAGTGTCATGATGTCAGTGGCAGTTGTTCACAGTATTGACATTGAGCATCGATACTCTAGATCAACACTCAATGATCTTGAGTACTGGGCATAGAACTTCAGAATAGTTTTTAATTATTTATAACTATTTATTGATTACCGTTGAATGGCACTGTGGTTTCTGTCAAGGATGTACCATCTGAGATACTCCTCTACAAAAGCTTTCTTCTCAGAAGCCTTCACCCCTCTGAAGCATCCAGCAGTTTGGAACATCCCACTGTTTTGCAAAATTACATTTAGCAGAGATTCATCTGAATCAGCTTCCAGGACCTACAAAACAAGCAGTATTCCAGAAGAAGTACAGAACTATAAATTTAAAAACATCTTTGTTATGAATAAAAACATAGCATTAACATTTTGTGTGTTTGTAATGTAACATCTGTTGAGACAGGCTGAAATCGGGCCTTTCACAGCAAAAACATTTGTCAAGCTTGAATAAAACAAACTTGGTACTTTGTCATAATCATTTCGTAATCTCAATCTGAAAATAATAATAAATAAAATGAAAATGATCTCCAGTTGGCATACAATAAATCTATTCCCTATGCCTAGGTAATTTCCTACCTGTTTCAGAACTTTCCCTATCTCCTCATCTTTAACATCTTCAACAGTGGCGCTGAAACTTGGATTCCCTATCATGTAGTTGACCAGGTTCTTTGAGAGAAAATGTGGTGCTGGTCCCCCATGTACAATACATACGGCAATCATCTTTCCTGCTAAAAAATACTCATCTTCCCTGGCAGCTGTTGTACAGAGCACAGAATTACTGTGGGTAATTAAATCTTAGATCTGCTTATGACAAAAACATAAGCTGATTTTTCAGCAAATTTTGATTTTAGAAGTACTACCACTTCACAAACCCAAAAAAATGTCTCACCTCTCGAATTGCACACAATGTAACGACTTTCTGGGGGTCCATCAAAGATTGGGCGATTTCTCAGAATGGCCATGAGAAGCGTGAGAAACTCACGCCTCGGGCCACCTGTGTCCAACCCTTCCTCCAACCAGCCAGCATCATCGTTAAATTTGATGAACATGTCATTCTTGTCGGAGTATGTGCTCCTCTGAAAGCCCCGAACAGCTCCATCCCACACATCAGTCCGACATATATTGAACCGGCTGACTTTCTTGTGGTCAATACCCATGGCCAGTTCTGCAATAATATCATGTGGCTGCACATTTGTTTCTCTAGAAAAAAAAAATATTTTAAAGCAGTTGACTGATCACACTTAGCATTATGTAATTATGCATGAGCAGGATGCTGGTTAATTTAATACAAAATATTAAAATTACTAACGCATGTTCTTCTGGGGGCAGGTCTTGCTTTTTGTCTTCGGTTAAATATTCAATCCCATCATCATCATCATCATCATCAATAACAATGGGCTCAAAGAGATTGGTGTAGTCTCTGTGGAGCAAAAACGTGCACACAATATAGATGGAGGGGGGGGAACTTCCAACCGTCCTTCACAAAACATTCCATTTATGTCAGAAGTTATATTTACAACATTCGAAGTAAATAAATGCACTTTAGATGACACAATAGATCTATCAGTATCACCTTGTCATGATGACACAACACACACCCTTCTTCTTTATGACAGAAGCCATTACACACCTGTAACAGGAGCTCTGGACAGGGCCACATTCACTGGTGCTTGGATTGTTGCTGTTGTCATCCAAATCCATAACCTGAAAACAGAGAAAAGAGTAAAATGAAACTTAATAATTGACTATTCTACAGTTATTTTAATTATCAAAATATTTTACTAAAAGGTTTGAGATAAAAATTTGTGGATTGTGGTGTGACATAATAAAAAGTTGTACCTGTTTTACTTCATTTGCAAGTGCAAGATCCCCAACACCATTACTTAAAGGACAATGAAAAAAACATATTAATGGGTAATTTGAACATATGAAGTCATATGAAGAAAGCAAGGGTGGTCTAATAATTATTTCCAATCCAGTATATTCAACATTTAAAAACAAGCATCTTGAAAAAAAAAAAAAAAACTTCATTGGACATGTTCCCATAACCACATAATTTACAAATATCCACATTCAACATGTCACCAATCCATACTATATGAAATGCAATGAAGGTATAATACTATTGATACATGTACACACATCATGCTATGATATGTCCCTAAAATATAACTTACTGTGTTTCTGCCACCTGTGTAAACGACTGCTCTCATCCATAGGTTCCCATGGCTGAAGAAAATGAAACACAATTTAACATCTTCATAGTCCAATGAAGCTTAGGTAAAATGCCCTTGTTTGTGATCACTCAACCAAATAAAAATGACAGACCAAATACATTTGAAGTGGACTTACCAGTGTATCAGCAAGATCAAAGTCGGAGGATTTTCTAATAACAATCTCTGGGTCAGAATCGGACAAGTCTGACAATTTTCCAACTGCAAAACAAGGGGAAAAAAAACAAACCAACTTAACTTCTACTAAGTGATAGTACTGTATTCGGTCAACTATATTATTGTATCAGAAAGGACAAAACATAGCACTGGTAAAAACAAAAAACTGAATGTACCTATCAAGTGTCCAGAAAGTAACTTCACATGTCAGAGCCAATCTATGTACACCTACTTTATTGATTCATGCCACTAATGCTTAATTGCACAGCTTTAAGATTTAGATTTATTGCAGTTATTGCAATGTGCCAATGTAAGCGCAGACATCTGAGCTTACCTTCTTCAAAGTCTCTTTTCAAGCAGAGGAAAAGACATATCCTTTGATATGTTTTGCCAACTTCAGCCTTGTAAGCTGCAAGGGTAAAAGGTGTTGTGTCCCAGGGATATTAATAACCTCTGTCCCATCTGGGTACAGAAGGAGGAAAGGTCCATCTTTGACATCTTTGTTGAAGTCCTTCATTTTTTTAATAGCAAGACTGAGGAGAGGTGTGGCAGAGACTTCTGGGTTTGTTGCAACCGAAATGGTTTTTCCACACCATGGCTTTAGACAATTGTTCAGAATGGTCATCAATCCAATATTTATCTGAAACAAAAAATTATGTGGAAGATTGAGCAATGTTTTTTTTCTTTTTAAAGAATAGTAAAAAAAAAAAAGTGTTGTTTTTAATTCCTCCTGCTTATATTACAATAACATGCAAACAGATCCATTAGCTATTCATATCAGTCATTTTCAAGCTTTTACTTTTGAACTACAGATTTGGATACAAACAGAACAATGCTTTGACAACTATTACTCAGTAATTAATCAATAGATGATTTACTGTTTTGACTGATCATGAATTGACAGTTTGCTGTTACTGTTAAACAATTATTCTGTATAGCTGTGCTATGCAGAACTTTCTTTAAGCAAGTCCATTAGTTAAAAGCTGCTTGTTTTGGTTGGAGCCATACCGGACCTACCTAACTTTCTTTTGTCCTTTTGTTAACCCCTTTTTCCCAAGAGAATATTTTTGTCGCTCCTCATTTTTCTTTTTTCTGTATTCAAGGAAGGTGCTGAGGGCTGGTGTACGGCAGGATGGGATAGTCTGTTGTGCTAGAAGTAAAGCAAAGAAAAAATGTCGCACACATTCATGCAAACAGACGATATGTATTACGAACTGAAGTAAAGCTGCCACAAGTATAATTAAGTGCGAGTTCGCTTCCGAAAGGCGGCTAGCCTGATCGCAGTGCAGCAGAACCAGAACGACACAAATTATCCTAAAAAAGTAGTGCCTAAGGCTGTGACGGACCTTACGATATATAGCTAATACAATTCTGCTGTATTATAGCGACTTTGTGTACTTTTAATTGCATTTATAATGAACAACTAAATGACAGTGGACACGGTCTGGAGACCACTAGCGTTAGCAAGTTACTACATCCATAAGAAATATGAATCTTCCTTTATGCTTTTTAAACTTACTTGAACATTGTGGAGTATCCGCCATACAAGTTTCTTCAAGCCTTTTGCCACAATTACTGCAGAAATTGGTGACGGCTCAACCACCTCCTTTCCACAGTTCGGGCAATACATGACGAATTGACTGTATTCCCGCTTCCTTGGGTTTCTCATTCAAAAGAAGCACTCAAGCATAACTTCCGGTTCAAAGAGAAACGACCTGTCGTCCAATCAGCGACTTCTTAGGTCTCCCACTGGGACCTACCTCTTCCGTTGTTTTCGTTAATGTTGTAGTGCTTTCGTTAATGTTGTTGTGTTTTTGTTAATGTGTTGTGTTTTGTTAATTGTTGTGTTTTTGTTAATGTTGTTGTGTTTTCGTTAATGTTGTTGTGTTTTTGTTAATGTTGTTGTGTTTTCGTTAATGTCGTTGTGTTTTCGTTAATGTCGTTGTGTTTTTCGTTAATGTTGTTGTGTTTCTGTTAATGTTGTTGTGTTTTTGTTAATGTTGTTGTGTTTTTGTTAATGTTGTTGTGTTTCTGTTAATGTTGTTGTGTTTTTGTTAATGTTGTTGTGTTTTTGTTAATGTTGTTGTGTTTCTGTTAATGTTGTTGTGTTTTTGTTAATGTTGTTGTGTTTTTGTTAATGTGTTGTGTTTTTGTTAATGTTGTTGTGTTTTTGTTAATGTTGTTGTGTTTTCGTTAATGTTGTTGTGTTTTGCACCTCAGGGCCACCGTAAGAAAGGCAGAAACGTCGAGTAAAGGAAAAATGTCTAATAAAAAAATTAGAGACAAACTTACAAAAAACACAGGAAGCCAGAGTAGAGCAGAAGGCAGACTGAGGAGAGAAAGAAAGAAAGTGGCAAAGGAGCTGAGGGAGAGTACACAAGGGACTAAGAAATAAATCTTAAGCTAAAGAATAACTAGACCTTAGAAACATGATTAAACTATAGTAACAACAAAATGACAACTACACTCAAGATATAACATAATAACCTAGAATTACTTAGGAAGATTTGAGCCAAAGTAAAACAGAAACAAGACTGATCTAATCAAAGAACGATCCTGAGGGAAGCAGCAAACTAGAATTAAATAATCAAAGCAACACAAGATCCTAACATCTAATCCTTGTGACTAAAATGTAATGCAGTTGTTTCTTGAACAGAGTGGTTGAAATGCATCCTTAAAAGCATTTCTTAGACATCTTTGTACACAAAGAATGTATGTAAACTTTCTAATGACTCAAAAACATTCATCAATGTGTTCTGCATACTGGTGCCAGAGTTTTCTGTACCTTCAGCTTGACAAAATGGCGTTTTCTATTCAGGCAACAGAAAATAAACAGCAGGGGGGAAAAAGGCTTGAATTTCCATGTCAAGGTCCAAATTACTGCACTTTCCTTTAATCCACAAGACATTTAGTGGCACTCACTGTGAGCACTGGGAGCAAAGGGGTTATTTGGTATGAATGAAAACCAGGAGTGGAGTGACCAAGTAACTATTGGCCAAAGTTGGAATAAAAGAATCCAACTCTTTGTCCTTTTGAGGCTCCCCCACTGACACCCACAAGGCTTTCTGAGAAACACAGATTTTAGTCACCTCTGAAACATTTCACATTGATTTAAATGAGTTGCACAGACATTTACAGACATTTATGATGTATTTCTTGGAGCCGCACACAATGGGGTTATGAAACTGCCACTGAATGGGAACATTACATACATGAGGAGCCTTTGTGATACAGCAGCTAAAAATCCTTGTACTTCAAGGTAAAGAGTGTTTTATAGCTGCTTGCCATTGTGTGTTCAGGCATTCTCTCTGCTGTGACCACTGTATTGAGTGCAAGCAAGGCCAATCCTATTTTCAATGAGGGAGAAAATGGATGCTGTGAGAGAATTATCTTTCTTTTGATGCACATTTTCAGAAATATTTTACCTTAAAATCAGAAGCATTAATACAATTCAGAGCATGAATAATGTATGCAATCATCGCAGGGGGGCAGGTAATGTAAATATTGATATTGATTGTAAACGCACAGTTAAGAGTGCAAAAGTATTCAGTGCCCACCACTAATGATGCTAATGCGCTAACAGTGAAGCTAATTCTTTATCGCGTTAGAATTTTGCTAATTTTGCAAACGTTTAACACATCTAATTAAATAGATAAATACATTCTAAAGAGCGGTTTTGTAAACGTTCAGTTGAATAAATTCAACATCTGTGTCATCATCTATTAAGAATGCTTCTAGTAGTTATATTAGTGCTCATATTTTAAAGTAGTTTATGTAGCAGGTCCATTTCCTCTCCTCATGTTCTCTACCCATAATGTGGTGCAGCAGATGACGGTTATTCTGTACCCATAACGCATCACTGTACTTCTACAACCTCCCATTGAACAGGTGAAATCTGCTGATGTCTTGTGTGTTTGCTGACCCCAAACGACAGAAGACATAGTTAGCAATGTTCAACAACTATAAAACTAAAACCAGTCTGTTCTAAAGAATCAGCTCCTGAAGTGTAAGTAAATATAAAGAATCAAATTTACCCTGATGGGGGGTGACATGTTATCAAATGGTTGAATTTATCATTAGCATTTGTTGAATACCATATTGATGCTCTACTTTAGTTTTAGCAGACTTAATATTTTTGATTAGTATAACTGCAGTTAGCAGTGCCCACCACACTGGTAATATTGAATAAAATGACTTTACAGACTGATTTATAAAACAAATTAGTCTGTCAGTCTATCAATATAGCATGGAATCTTTTCCTCTCTTGCAAATGATTAGTGAGAGAATTTACAGAAAGTCAAGCCTGGTGGAAAAAATAGAAAATCAAGATATTGCAATGTCCCAGTGAATTTCCTAACCTGTGAAATTTCTACCATGACTACTTATGTCCTCTGTGATCAATTTCCTCCACATAGAATCAATTTGCATATCATATTTAGCCAAGTGTATCACAAAATGTTGTTCAGTTGTAGATAAAACTTCAACCTTGGATATATCTTGTTTCATCCAATAGGACATTCCCAGAAATGGTCAAATATTGATGAGACAATTAAAATATTTGCTGTTGGTTTTCTTTCTAAACAATAACTGTTCAGAGTGAGCATGGAATCATAAATATTCAACTAGAAAATTCCTGAAGAAATTTAACCGGGGCCTGCCAAAGTGCGCCCGTCGGTTTGGACCCAGCGTTCTGATGCTAAACATTAGCATCCATGCTAAAGAAAAGCTGCAGTGTAATCAATAGTAGGTGGAAAGTCACAAGCATGTTAACTAACATGGACTTGCACCATTCAGTATGTTAAAAGTATAAGCTAAAATTAGCCAAAATGCTAATGTGAGCCTACATGCTTTCAGTAGCATGTGGGGCATCTCTAGCATGAATCTGTAATTGACTTACTCCATTCAGTATACTAAACATGGGTAATAAATAAGCTATCGCAGATGTTTGCACTAACCCCTTTATAAGAACTCTATTCAAGATATAATTTGATGTAAATTGTACGTTTTGTGATTCATGACCTTAAGTTGTTGTCCATCTGTTTTGGCACTGTCCCTTTAACACAAAATGTGTGTGACTTTATTCACAACAACATTGAAGCAAAATTTATAATGTTACGGGAAGATGTCTTACTTAAACTAAAAGCAGGCTGAACAATTCAGATTCTCATAAATCCTTTATTGCCACTGTAGCTAAGTTTCAGGTGTTCTATCATTACACGTTACACCATACTATTACACCTTAGATAAACTAAGAAGGAAATAGATAAAGCCTAAACAAGCTTAACATTAGAGTCACTATTCATAAGCGAACTAAAACAAATGAACTAATATCAATGCCTGTGCGCCTGGCAAGTACATAGCACGGCGCTCTACAATACAC